GCCGGCCCCCCCTCATAGCTCCGGAGAAAACACGCCCCCCCACCACCGGCCTCCGGGAGGGTGGGGGTACGGTTGCCAATCAGCTGGCCACACCCGGATAGGCAGCCGATGGGAGGCCCCCTCCCCACAGTAGTCACCGGCGTCACCACTAACGCCTTCCCTGCCGTGGGACCGATCGGGGGCCTTGTTCCGCCGCCGCTTCGGAGGACGCGTTCCCAGGTACCTTAGGACCCCCACGGTCCCGCGGTCCCCCGGTCCCCAACCCACCGGACGACACCCCTCGCCCCTTTTGCAACCCCCCCCCCCCCTTTCTCCCGCGTGCCAGGAGCGCATCTACCTCGAGCAGCAAGGGTACTTCCCGCAGCCGCAGCCAGCCGGACGAGGACAGCACTACTACAGCGGCGGCCCGCCACCCCTAGCAGATGCCACACCAACCACACCCACCACACCCACCACACCAACCACACCCGCCACACCCACCACACCCACCACACCAACCACACCCACCACACCCACCACACCAACCACACCCACCACACCCGCCACACCCACCACACCCACCACAGGTCCGCCCTCGACGCTGCAGCGGGCCCGCCGACCCGCCTCTGCGCCTGTCCGCAGGCTCCTCGCTCTTTCCGCCCGCGCAGCCGTTCGCCGCGCAGGCGGGCGCAGAGGTTGGCGGCAGCAGCAGCGGGCTCCAGCCCCCGCCTGTCGACGTCTCTCACCGCGCGCCCCAGCCCCGCCCGTCGCTCGAGCGATCGAACACCTCCTTCTTCGCCACCCTCGGCCAAGACGAGGCTTGGTCGCCGAGCACGCGCGAGCTCTTCGAGTCGTGGGCAGACTCGCCGCGCGGTGAGACTCGCCCTCACTCTCCCACACCCGGCCCGAGGTAGACCTAGCTGGGGTAGACCTGGCCCGAGGTAGACCTGGCCCGAGGTAGACCTAGCTGGGGTAGACCTGGCCCGAGGTAGGCACAGACAGAGCCTCACCGCGCGCCGCGCCGTCCCCAAGCCGCTCCGCCGGCCTCCCACCCCCACGCCCCTCCTCTCCCCCCCCCCCCCCCCGACCCACCGCCTCCCTCACACACCCCTCTGCAGGGACGACGCTGCCAGCCGCCCTCGCGCAGCAGCTCTCCACCCTCGCCGCCAACCCCGACGCCCCGCCCGGCCTCAAGCGAGCCGCCTCGGGCCAGGGGGACGGGAGGCCGCTCAAGGTCACTCGCTCCGTCTCGGGCTACCTGGCGCAGGGAGGGCTCGGCGCCGGCCTGCCGCCGCTCACTTCCTTCCCCGGCCCGCCGCCGGCACCGTCCGAGGTGCCTCGTGGCCCCCACCACACCACACCACACACACACACGCACACGCACACACGCGCACACACGCGCACACACGCATCTCTCTCTTTCTCTCTCTCTCTCTCCCTCTCTCTCCCTCTCTCTCCCTCCCTCCCCGTCTCCCTTGCACCGCTGCACTGAGGTGCCACTGTGTGTCTGCGGTGAGGCGAGAGCCGCCGAGTGCCGGCAAGATCAGGCGAGATCAGGCGCGATCAGGCGAGATCCCCTGCCCCCCTCGCAGGAGATGGTGCCTGGCGGGTCACCCGTGCCTGCGGCGGCAGCCCTCCCCTTCGGGCTGCCGAGGCCGCCCTCGATGACTGCCGACGAGCTGCAGCTCGACCTCGCCGCTTGCGGCGCGGGGGTGGACAGCGCCGCGCCCTCGCCGCGGGGCGAGGCACCCGCGCCCGCCCCCTCCGGGAGGCCGGCCTTCGAGCGGCGCCGCTCGTCCCGCCTCTCCATCTCGGCGCTGCTCGAGGCGGTGGTGGGCGACTGAAGGGGCGCGCGGCGCCGGCTGTCCGCGGGCGGGGCGGCGAACCTTGGTGGGGCTCGGAAGAGATTGCGGCGAGGAGGGAGGGAATGCAACCATTACTCTCTGACCCAATCCAGAGCGAGGGGGTCAGTTGCGTGCGGTTGGCTGCGGCTGCAATGGTGGAGGGCAGAGACGCTATGTTCGAGAGCGTCTCGAGATAGTGAAACGTGTCGCACACGCACACTTTCATGTCGACTGAGTGCGGAGTGCACCTCTCCACTGTGTGCGTTGTGCCAGTCGGTCGAGGGCTCAAAAACAAAACAACAATGATTTAAACGAGCGCGAGACGGCGAGAGCCCGGCGCCCGGGACTGATGTTTTGGCCAAAGTACAGGTTTCGATCCGGGCCACACCGTGCAAATTTTGATCAGCAAATTTCGAGGGGCGGCCGCAAATTTTGAGGTAGATTTTGATTGTCAAAATGTGTCCGTCTTGGCACAGGATAGAGCATATAGGCGGCGAACACCCAGGTGCGCAGGGACATCGCGACTCTGCCCGCTCGCTCGACCCTTTTGCCGCGAGAGGGCGCCGGCCGCGTGTAAGGAGGTGGCTGGCGCCCTGAGGCGGCAATTGGTGGCGTGGGGAGTGCGGAACGCTACTGGCGGCGTGACAGGGCCTCTCTCGGTTGCGTGTGCCGCCCATCGGCACGCGGGTGCGCAGACATCGCGCGACTCTGCCCGCTCGCTCGACCCTTTTGCCGCGAGAGGGCGCCGGCCGCGTGTAAGGAGGTGGCTGGCGCCCTGAGGCGGCAATTGGTGGCGTGGGGAGTGCGGAACGCTACTGGCGGCGTGACAGGGCCTCTCTCGGTTGCGTGTGCCGCCCATCGGCACGCGGGTGCGCAGACATCGCGCGACTCTGCCCGCTCGCTCGACCCTTTTGCCGCGAGAGGGCGCCGGCCGCGTGTAATCGTGTAAGGAGGTGGCTGGCGCCCTAAGGCGGCAATTGGTGGCGTGGGGAGTGCGGAGAACGCTACTGGCGGCGTGACAGGGCCTCTCTCGGTTGCGTGTGCCGCCCATCGGCACGCGGGTGCGCAGACATCGCGACTCTGCCCGCTCGCTCGACCCTTTTGCCGCGAGAGGGCGCCGGCCGCGTGTAAGGAGGTGGCTGGCGCCCTGAGGCGGCAATTGGTGGCGTGGGGAGTGCGGAACGCTACTGGCGGCGTGACAGGGCCTCTCTCGGTTGCGTGTGCCGCCCATCGGCACGCGGGTGCGCAGACATCGCGCGACTCTGCCCGCTCGCTCGACCCTTTTGCCGCGAGAGGGCGCCGGCCGCGTGTAAGAAGTGGCTGGCGGCCTGGCGCCCTGAGGCGGCATTTGGTGGGGTCAGCGTGCGGTGCTGAGTCTTACTCGTCGGCGCTGGGGCCAGATCCCAGCGCAGAACTCTGCAACGCTGGCATACAAACACAAGAAGACTAACCCTAACCCTAACCCTAACCCTAACCCTAACCCTAACCCTAGGTCAGCGTGTGGGGCTGAGTCTTAGTCGTCGGCGCTGTGGGGCCAGATACCAGCGCAGAACCCTGCAACGCTGGCATATACAGACACAACCAGACTAACCCTGACCCTAACCCTAACCCTCTAACCCTAATAACCCTAACCTAACCCACCCCCCAACTCCACACCGCAAATTTGAAAGATCTTGATGAAAATCAGGCCCGACTGCAAATTTCTTCAAAATTTTTGCAGGCGCTCCGCGCCTGCAGATTTTGAAATAAATTCGACAAAATTGGTACCTGGCCCAACTGATGTTAGTGGTTTTTCCGCCAGTACCGAGTACGCGGTAGCGGGTAGGATCGAGCGCGGCCGGCCGCCCCCGGCCGGCCGCAGCCCGCAGCCGGCCCGCACACAGGCGGGGTCACAGCAGTCAGCACACACTGCTCGGTAGTCGGTACGGGGGAAGGACGATGGAGTTGAGGGAATCGGGGGACGCGACCCACCTCGCCACAGACGGTCCCCCGCGCCTCGCCGCTAAGACGGGTACACGACCGCGGCTCGTGTGCGTGTACCCGTCTTTATCGTCCGGAGTGGAATACTACAACGCACTCGTCGGTGACGGTGTCCCCCAACCTGCGCCGCGCTCGGCGAACCTCGACAGCGCCTTCGGTGGCATGCTGCTCTTTGCGACAGAAGCCTGGAAAGCAGCTCCTCTACTGCTCACACGCTCTGCACAGTTGGCACAGCCCACTGTGCGGCTGCCACAGCTGTGACAGCGATGGGCTCGCCCTCACTGGCCCTCAGTCACTTGTGCTGCGGCTTGTGTGAGCGACGCTGCTCGGCGACTGCCGGCACACTGTGAGACCATGGGTGTGAGGTAAAACCACGCTACCAGCGCTTGGTTACATCAGCCCTGAGGTCAGATCCGCTGTTGATGACAAGACTAGTCTACTCGCTGGAGCCGAGCTGGAGGGCCTGGCGCCCAACCCCTGGTCAACTCAGGGTCCTTCCCCTTTACCCCCGCCCCCTGCACAACTAAGCTCATGGCCGACCCCCCCCCCCCCAGCAGCAGCGCTCTGCTGCTGGGGGGGTCGGGACCTCCCCCCCCAGCAGCAGCGCTCTGCTGCTGGGGGGGTCCGGACCCCCCCCCCAGGCAGGAGCGCTCTGCCTGTGGGGCGACGCGTGCTGGCATCTCTGTACAGACAGCAGCTGTAAGTAGCATGCGTTCCAGTGGCGAGAATTTATAGTCGGCATCAAAATTAGTGGTCTCACCGGCGGGCCCTCCTACGGCCAACCGGGAGGTGCGGGGCACGCCAGCCTCTCTTCTACGCCTCTCTCGTGCCTCGCGGCGCCTCTGCTTCAAGGAGAGAAGATACGGCTCTCGCAGCCCATCATACGCCGTGGCACAGCGGGGAGCACAGCGGGCTGTACAAGATATTGTTCCCTATCTTCGCATGCTCGTCGTTGGTGATATCCGCGCGAGGTCATACGCCACAGGCCAGCAATCACTCGATGATGAGACTACACTGACGTATAGGCGCGTGTGGTATTACAAGATAGACTCACATGGTCACACGTCTTTAGTAAAACGCCAGCACTCGACACGACGAAGGTGTATTGGGCTCGAAGGCGCGGTGAACACAACCGCCTCGAGCGTACCGCTCAAATACGAGCCGAGGGTGGAGGGGGGGGCGGCGGCGAAGAGGCGGGAGAGCGGGGTCCAGTGCGCTCTGCTGCTGGGGGGGTCAGACCCCCCCCCCCCTAGCAGCAGGGATGACTTTAGATGTGCAGGGGGGGTACCGAGCAGTGTGCGGCCGCTCCTATTGCAACACGGTGACATCGTAGAGCGGCTGCAATGGTGGAGGGCAGAGACGCTATGTTCGAGAGCGTCTCGAGATAGTGAAACGTGTCGCACACGCACACTTTCATGTCGACTGACGTGCGGGTGCACCTCTCCACTGTGTGCGGTGTGCCAGTCGGTCGAGGGCTCAAACAAAACAAACATGATTTAAACGAGCGCGAGAGCAGACCCCGGAGTCTGCTTTTTCCGCCGGTACGCGGTTCGCGGTAGTAGCCCGAGATCCCGTTCCCGAGACGTCATCCCTTCCCCGCGCTTTTCGTTTTCCGCGGGCGCCCGCTGCGCGCTGGGTGCGCTTAGTTCTTAGCTCCCCGGCCCTGGATGTGAGCGGCTACCAACTGCCTCGCCACTCCACAAGTATACTCCCAGTGCTCCGGGTCGCCACCCCCCAGGGGCGAATATCCCGGGCTCGTGTAAACAAGTTTGACGAAACGTGTGTGATCCAAAGTGTACTGCTGTTAGCTTAATGGGAAGAGACTGGGAGAAAGGTGTGTGTGTGTGTCTGTCTGTGTGTGTGTGTGTGTGTGTGTGTGTGTGTGTGTGTGTGTGTGTGTGTGTTCTCTAGGCCCCTAAAGGAGCTACGCACGGCGCGTGAGCCCTATAGCGTGAGACTCTCTCGCTCGCCACGTCGCCAGCTCGCCAGGGCCCTTTTACGTTTAAAAGTTCGTTTCGTCGATCCCCTGTTAACCGCGTTTTTATCCGCCCCCCTCCCCCCCTCTGGCCCCAACGCGCAACGTCTCCAATGAACACAGATCAGTGAGGAGGGCGCGAGACGATCGAGGGGGCTCCACCCGGCGTAACACCCCGCGTACTCTAATCTCTATTATGTTGTATATGATAACCTATATGCGGATTTGCGGCGCAATTGCGCGCGCGGAGGAAAAGCGGAAATCGCGACCCTCTATAACCCCATTATCCACGAGTGGCTCAAGTTTACATAATGAGTCACGTTGACTCAAGTTGCTCGAAAGACAAAACCGCGCTTTTTCACACACTTGTTCTCACAGCGGGTCACACACGTCACACACATGCTTGAGCTTGTCACACATGACGTCAATTCGAGCGACAACACATGAGTGCGTCGTGTGAGACCCTTTGGATTGTGCTGCGACTGTGGTCGTGGTGTGACACCGCGCGGCGGGTCCGCGCGCGCAGATGGATGATATTGGCGCGAGACGCCCACCGCCCTGTGAGCCTGGCCCCCGCGCGCCCTCACCCCCGCCCTCCCGGCGCTCCGACCTTCCTGCGCCACGCCACTCCTCTGAGGTCGTCCCCTTTGAGGCCGCCCTCACCCTGCCTCGCTTCTTTTCTGCTCTGCCGTCACTCCTTCGACTCGCCCTGCCCCGCACTGCTGCCTTCGCCCCCGCTGCCGTCCTCCCCCGCACTGCCGCCCACTCGTCTCGCAAACCACGAGAGCCAGCTTGCGGCCTGCTGGCCCAGCTGCTGCCCGAGACCAAAGTCCAGCTCCGAGTCTCGCTGCTCCGCCGCTCCGCCGCGGCTGCTGCTCCTCCCCTCGCCGCTCCCCCTCCCCTCGCCGCCCGCCTCCGCCTCGCCGCCCGCCCCCTCCCCGAACGGCCACGGAGCGTCAAGCGGCACCGCCACCGCACGCGTCGCCTCGCCGCGCAAGTACAGAGCGTGGCAGCAATGAGCGTCGGCCGGCAAGACGCGCCACAGCTCGGCGTCGTGCGGGTCGTCTCGCCGCAGCGTGAAGCCCGGCCCGCTGAGACGCGTCGCTCCCCCGCGGCGAGACGCGTGGATGGCGAGCCGCGACGAGACGCCGTGGCTGCCTCCGACCGAGCGAGGAGGCACGCGCGCGATGATGTCGGCCGCGCAGACGACGCGGAGGGCGCGGAGCCGCCCCACCGCCTCGACCTCGTCCATCCTCCGCCTGTAGGCGAGATACGGGGAGATCCGGGAGATATGGGGAGATACGACCTCGTCCCTCCGCCGCCTGAAGGCGGCGTTGAAGAGGCGCGGCGCCGCGAAGGCGACCACGGTGAGCGGGGCAGCGGAGCTCGCCTGACACGGTGGGACCGCTATGCCCAGTAGCCCGTTGAGTGAGATCAGGCGGTGGGCGGGGCAGCGGCGGCTCGCCGCTGCAAAGTCGCGCGAGTGGGTGAGGTCGTAGGCGCAGAGCTGCGCGAGGGCACCTCCCAACGAGTGGCCTGCCGGGGAGGAGCGGCTGGTGGTTTAATGACTAAGGGGAGGAGCGGCTGGTGGTTTAATGACTGAGGGGAGGAGCGATGCCGCGGTCAGATCCCCCCGCCACCCGCCCCCACCCTCCCCCCCGGCATGCGCAGAGGTGGGCGGCCTGTCACGACGACCCTCGCCCGCGGGTGCGCAGCGAGCGCCTCGAGCACTGCTCGCCTGGCCGGCAGGGACGGAGGTTCGGGGCAGGGACGGAGGTTCGGGGCAGAGGGCGCGGGCCGGCCCCGCCAAGCGCGCGCGCCTGACGACACGGCGGGGCGTGCTCGCCTATTCGTCCACTCGCCGCTCACGAGAAGAGGTTGGCGACTGGTCCCGTGAGGAGAGGGTCCCCGTGAGGAGAGGGTCCCCGCGAGGAGAGGGTCCCCGTGAGGAGAGGGTCCCCGTGAGGAGAGGGTCCCCGTGACGTGCGCACCTCCTCTGCGCGCGCCGGAGCGCCGGCGTAGGCTCGCCAGAGGCCGACGGTCGCGCACTCGCGCGGCGAGTCCGCGAGCAGAAAGAGCAGCCGCGCCTCCGCCTAGCCACGCTCCGAGAGCTTCACGCAAGGCGTCCGGAGGGGAGGGCAGCTAGCCCTTCTCCTCTCCGCCTCTTGCACAGAGACCTCGAGACTGCCGCCGTCCCCCGCTCCACCCTCGCCACCCTCCTCCGCCCCCGCCTCCACCGCCGCGCCCGCGCCCGGCTTCGCCGCCCTCTCCGACCGCCGGCTGATAGACAGCCTCCGCGCGAAGGTCGCCGTCCTCGCAATGCCTGCCAGCGACCGCCGCGGCCGCTGCGAGGCGTCCTCCGGCGGCGTGAAGTCGTACTCGTACGTCCCGCCGTCCTCGAGGGTGCCCGTCCCCGACAGGTCGACGGAGCGGCGCAGCGGCACGAATCGCGGGCTCGCGTCAGTCACAAAGTAGTCGGACGCCGCCTTTGAGCCGCGGAAGGCGACGACGATGAGCGGGTCGTCGCCGCAGCCGAGGTCCGGCGGCGGGTGGAGGAGCGTCACCGCAGCCGCCTTCTCCATCCCTTGCGCCGGGTCGGCCCACGCGAGCGCCTCGGGCGAGTAGCGCTCCTTGAGCGCCGTCGCCCACTCAGACCGCCGCCTCCGCACCTCGCATTCGGCCGCCTCGGAGGCGGGCTTCATCGCGTGCTCGCCAACCTTGTCGGGCGCCCAGGCGGGGTACTGCTCGCGCGACTCCATCGCGCGCCTCGCGCCCTCCGCAGAGGTGCCCGGGCCGAAGGCTGCCCAGAAGCTGCCGCCTCCGCCCGGCGCCGTCGCCGCGGTGTGCATGTCAGCCATGACGCAGCCTTCGGCGAGGACCGCCATATCGGCGACGAATGCGCGCTGTGTGAAGAGCGCCGGGCCCGGGACGAGCGGTGGCGCCGACGGCGTGGGCATGGCAAAATTTCGGAGCAACTGCGCTCTTGCCGACTCGAATGCGAGCGACTGCCGCGGCGTGCCGCACCCTTCCGCCAAAAGAAAGAAAAACCCCCAGGGAGTACTTTGGAAGGACGATCAGGGACACAGGGAAACGGGAGTGGGGAGCGCATCGCAATACGGAGGGCGAGGGGGGCTGGGCAGCGTTTTCACCCACACGACAGGGTCCCAGCACCCAGGGCCCAGGGATTCCCTCTCCCATAAACATATATCACCCGGCGTGTCTTTCTTTTCCCCCTTGTTCCCAACTTACTCCTCACACCACGCAAAAAAGCCAAGAGAACGAGGGGGAAAGAATCGCAGCACAATAAAACGTCGGATCGAATCGCCCTACGTCGGACTAAGAGAGCTCTAATCCGTCACTCGACGCTGCGGTTGTCGGTGTCCATCGGCGCGAACGGCTCGGCCGGCCCGTCCTCGTCCTCCTCGCTCGTGTACCGGCCCAGCATCACCGAGAGGCACGCCTGGGCCTCAGGCGTCTGCTCCATCCCGCGCCAGACCTCGGGCGGGCAGCGCGAGGCGACCAGCTGCGCCATCTCCTGCCGCATCCAGACCGCCTTGAGGGCGGCGAGGAAGAGGTTCGCGCGCAGGCTGGTCGGGCCGCAAAAGTAGAGGCCGCCGACGGTCGCCGTCAGCCCGCCCAGCTCGGTAAGGGCCCTCCACGCGGGCATCATGTGCATCAGCCAGGAGAGGGGCATGCCTGCCGCAGGAAGGCCGCGTCGGCAGGGAGGGCGGGGCAGCGGTCGCGAGGCGGAGGGGCGCGCCTCCGGAGCCGACCGAGTCGAGCACGTAGTGGAGGTGCGCGTCAATCTTTCCGCTCGCCTCGTCTCGCTCGGCGATCAGCTCGCACGCCTGGACGGCGTGGTGCATCATGAAGGCCCGCCGCTCGGCCGGCGTCGTGTGCACCTCCGCGCTCGCATAGTCCTTGTGCTCCTCAACCTGGCAGACCACCACGCCCGCGTTTGTCCGAACGATGTGGCGAGGCAGGTACCGCATCATCACATCCCCTTTTGGCCACTCCTCCGGCCGCGGGTGCGCCCGCACAAACGCGGCGATGGCGTCATAGTCGAGCTCCGACCGCCACTGCAGGCTCGTTGCCGCCCGCTCCAGCGCAGATTCCCGGTCCCAATCACTGGCGCGGAGCATGCGCAGCAGCCACGCGTCGCGAAGCCCCGAGGCCGGGAAGGAGCCGCTGCGGCGGGAGTCCCTCTCGAGCGCCTCACGCAGCCACGCGAGCGCCTCGGAGTGCGATTTCGCGAGCTCCTCCACGGAGCAGGTGGCACACATGACGGGGCCGAACCTGTTCTTGTCGGTTGTCGCACTGGGTTGTCCTCGGAATCGGGCTGTCGCTGACAGGGAGCGGATAGTGCAAGCCGGCTCGCTTTTCTTTTGACCGCGCAAGATAAAGGGGGACTAAGGGCTCTGCCCGCAAGGCGCCCGCGTCGCAGACGCGGTACTCAGCTTCGTAACCCGTGAAAACAAAAGCAGGACCGTGGCTCCCAAATACGACAACCTCAAAACAAGTTTGGTAAACGCTCGGGCGCTCGAGCCGGCGCTTCCTCCGATTACGGACGGACGAAATGATCGGGGAAAAGCGCATCGCGACATCTCTGGGGTCACCATATGCCGGACCGGCATACCACGTACCGGATTACGCTCACGCCTGCGACCGAGGCGGCGCTGCTGCGGCTGAAGGAGTGCGGAGAGAACAAGCAGCTGCTGTCCCGTTGCGCGCTGTGGTGCAGCAGCGGCGCCCTTGAGGCGATCATCGTGCTCCGGAAGCAGCGCTATCCGTACCAGGTGGGCCAAGCTGGTGAGTGGGGTGAATGCATCTTGCCGGGGCCGTGGCAGGCGATCGAGTTCGACGACGCTCAGTGGCGAGCAGTTGCCGTGATGCAGGGCGCATGGGTCCGTGACTGGACGCAACGGGGCAGGCGCACTGACCTCACCGCACAGGCCGAGCCGCTTCTCCCACCACTTCCCCCGCTTCAACCGCCGGGTCAGCAGCAGCCGGGTGATACGGTTCCTCTACCCGACCCAGCCGCGCTGCATCCCACACCGCAGCCGCCCCCGATGCCATGGGTGCCACGAGAAAGTTTTACGTGCGCCGGGCTCACCGACAAACCGCCAAGATTCTGGAGATCACTGGCCGATGCTATGCCCGCGCTGACGACACAGCCACGATTCAATGAGAGTGCCGAGGCACAGGCAGAACGGCTACAGCTGCCTCTCCTAGACCCACGCAACGCCGACCACGACAATCACAAGTGGTCAGCGCAGCCGCCGGTCAAACGCGTGTGCTATCAATCAATGCGGCCGTGCGAATGGAAGCAGACGTGGTACACCGATGCATTCCAGTGGGTTGAGTACAAAACTGAGCTGGTGCGCTTCTTACATGCACTGCGTTGCATTGTCGATGGTACCACCGACTACCTGGACGTCGAGTTTGCGCCTGAGATGTGGCGCTTGAGGGGCGGCGGCGTCAACTGCTACCCGTGCAAAAACGCGCGGGCGCGAGAGGAGTTTGACGAAGACCCGTGTGAGCTATGCGGTGCCGGGATGGAGGAGCCGTGCCAAGAGCACTGTGTCATTCCAAGGGCCGCACGCAACTGGTGGACTGCGTACGAGGCAGAGCTGAGCGGACAATGGCCGGCGTGGTGGAGCTCAGGCGGACTATCGGATTATTGGATTCCCCGCCGCGGCTGGTGCGTTGCACAGCGTACTCTACTGCGTGTGAAGCTGCTGCTGGCTCGCATGGTGCTCAACCGTGGCGACTCGCTGGCCATGCGATGCCTCATCCTCGCTGGCACGCCCCCTACAGCCTACTCCCAAGTTTGCGGACCAGCACAAACCGCCACTCCACCAACGACTGCTGCACTTCCGCGGTGTGATCCACTTCAGCAATTACGATGGTGCAGCAAAGGAGCTGGAGAGCATGCAGACGTCGACGTTGTATCCTGAACGTCGCAATATGGACATCAGCGAGATTGCAGCCAAGTACGGGATAGCCTATGGCCCGCAGCCATTGCACTACATCATTGAGTCGAGCACGTTCAGCCGCAACTTGCTTGGTCACGCGCTCTCGCCATGCGACTTTAGCTGCGATCCGATTGTGGGTGGCGAATTTACTGATCACCTCTGCCGACGCCAGGATGGCATGTTTGATCCGGGAGAAGTGGGTGACCACTCGCTGGCGCGTGGCGGGCACGGCTCTCTCTGGCGACACAAGTGGGGTGAGCCGCCGCCTGCGTGGCCCGAGACAGACACTAACCTACCTGCACCGTATCGTCCCACAGCAGAGAGGGTTGCGCGCGATGCTGCCCACGCTCTCGAGCCAAATCTGCCCAAACCCGGAATTTGGGTCGAGGCAGATGCCGATGCTATTGAGCGTGCGCTTGTCAAGCGCCGAGCCACCGCGCAACGACCGCGCTTCTGCCACTGCTACTTCCGCGCGAGTTGCGATGGCTCGTGTGAGCCTAAGGATCCGTGTGAGGAGGATCGCAGGCTTGCAGAACTGAAAGCGTCGCACGACTGGCTCGCTGGGCTGGACGGTCCGGTACGTCTTCATGTCCGCTACTGCCACAGCACCAACCGCGTAGTTGGCTACGAAGGGTTTCAACACCGGAAGTTTAACTGGGACCTCGAGCCAGCGCAGACATTCCTAGGCAAGTGGGAATATGGCGACTACTTTGTGATGGACCATCATGCTGCAGAAGACATTTATCATCTCAGAGAGAACCTCGACTTTTTTCAGACGCCTTTGGATGCTGCACTGCGGGTAGTCGAGATGCGGGGCGACTACCAGCTTCCGACCGGATGGCGGTGGGACAGTGAGTGCGGTCCTGTGCCTCCACCATCGCCGCTGCCAACGCCACCACCGCTGCCGCCACCGCCGCGTGTTGTCGCCGGCTACACACAGCTACCAGATACCAGATGTGCACGCTAGCAACCCGACTGGCTCCTTTTCCATCTTCAGGCGCCCAGACGAGGGCACATGGCTTTTGGGGGTTAGAGATCATGTGCCCATAGCTGCCCTACTGCCCCGAGTCAACCGCTTTGAAGAGCTCCTGTCTTGGGCTGAGGAGCGCGCCGCTGCCAACGGCATCATTCTGCCCTACCAGCAGCCCGGGTTCAAGCCTGAATCAGTGATGCCGCCGGTTCGCACCCCGGCCGCCGCCGCTAGCTCGGCCGCCGCCGCTAGCTCCAGCTCAGATGATCCTCTAGATCTCCCCCCTCTAACCGCTGATGGGCCGGTGTCGATGCAGCTTCCTGAGCCTGAAGGCGAGGAGGAGCTTAGCTTTATGGACTCGGTGTTTTGTGACCCCCCCGCCTGAGGAGTGGACTGATGACTTCTAGCTGTGTGTATCGCGCGCCTTGCGGGGCTGTGTCGTGGTGTGTGCGTGTGCGTTAATACCGCGCAAAAGGGCTCTCTCTATCCGTCCGCGCAGACGCAATTACTCTGCCGCGGTTCCCCCTTTTGCGCAGCAACACCTTAAACTTTTCAGGCCCTCCAAATTCGGGTCGGAGCGTAGCGGAGTGGGCCCCGAGTTTGAAAAGGGCGACGGACGCTTGCGTCCTAGCCTCCAACAACGCCTCCCCGGCGCAGAGGGGCCCCCGGAGGGATGCACAACCGACCCACGCCACGCCGCTTGCGGCGGTCCTCTTCCCAGCTCCGCTGAGGGCCCGCGCGTTATTGAGCTAGTTTACAATCTCGCCGCACGGCAAAACGGAGCGTGATTTATTCGGTTCAGCTTCTCTCTGTTACGAAAATCGCATGCACTTCTCACCCGCCTCCCTCCCCCTGCTCCTCGCCGTGCCGCGAGTCCCGACCGTCGTGATGCAACGGTCGGACGCGGAGCGGCGCGATCAGCTGCGCCAGCTGTTTGGCGAAAAGGCGGCCGACGATCTTGTGCCACTCACCTCACGAGAGCGGGCAGAGGCAGACGCGCAGGAGGTGCAGATGCTGCAGGACGGACCCCAGGAGCTTGAATGGGGCGCAGTAAGACTTGTGGATGTCGACATGGCGGACGGTCCGCTCGAGCTCGCGCTGCAGCCGCTGCTGGCCGGGCCCTCGCAGCTGCTGTGCTTGCGGCTCGACATGCCACTCGGCATGGCGCTCGAGGAGAGCGGCGACGGCGGCGACGGCGGCGACGAAGACGCACCACAAGCCAGGCAGATCGTGGTGACTGAACTGTTGGACAGTGGCAGCGCCAGAGGAGGCGGAGTCGAGGCGGCGGCTTGCCCGCGCACCGTTCACGTACTGTACCGGCGCACCTCCTGCGACACCGCTCCCCCATCGCCGGCCGTGCGCAGGTGGGAGACCTCGTGCGCGCAACCACCTACGTCACGATGGGGATGTCGTACCCGGCGTGGCAGCTCATGCTGGGCGGCGTGGGCAAGCCCACGCTCTTAAAGAGCGTGCTGGCGGCGGAGAAGGCGTCCTTCGAGACGGTGCTCGCCGCGATTGGCTCAAACGGCCAGGAGGCGCAGGGCAATGGGCAGGTGGTGCTGTTCGTTGAGCGAGGGGGGTGACTATGCGGTCTTTTTCTTTTTTGAGCCCGCCGAGTGACTGGTCGAGAGAGACTAAAATAAAAAGGTGTCAGAGTAAAAAAAAGACATTCTTGTCTTTTTTGCCCCCCTCCGAGACTAGGGACAGAACCACACCAGTATAGACCAGAGGGACTGCGCCTCGCCCCCGCTTGCCCCCTGACTTCACAGGATAGCGTGCCCCGATGACGGCGACACATAGCGCGGGGTACACTGCGCAAGGAGGGGGTGCGATGCCCTTCTTTTGTCCTCTCGAGGGAATGTTCTCTCGGCGCCCATGGCCTTCTGAGGTTTCGTACGAATGACGTCCTTCTTGGGTATCTCTGTGGGTCTAATTCCCTCGGTATGCTATATAGGTTTTCCGCTTTTCCCGAAGTGTGACCTTCTTTTCAATTTCAGCGTATCTTGCTGGATGCCTTCCCGCTGTGGCGGGAGGTCCCCAGTTCGAAACCTGGTCGACCCTTATACTTTTTGTTCACACCTGAGCGGGCTCAATTTTGCTCAGGTGCTACTCCGAATTCGAAATCGTGTCCTCACGCTTAGCGCTTGGTGTGCGTTCGTTTTTCGTCACGGGAAAAACAAAAAGGTGTCAAAGTAACGAACGCGAGAGGCGAGAGAGAGCCGAGACACGGGGTCGCGTCGGCACAACCGAACAACCCTAACACTCACACGTCATTTGGGGCCTGGAGCCCCTGCAGACTGTAGTTTATGGTGGTTTAGAGTTTGCGGGGGGGGGACAGAGCCCCTGCAGAAGTGCAGATAGATCTTTATGGCGGTTTAAAGTTTGCGGGGGGGGGGGGGGGGGAGATTTGGGCGGTCCGAATTCAATCGTTTGGGGGGTGTGGACGACGGTTTTGGGGATCCTGCCGACGCGCTACAGTTGTAGCCCCACTGCACATAAGAGGGCTCCCGCGGCGATCAACACCGCAACTCCTTTTCTAATCAAAAAAATCGAGCACAATTGCGTTACATGGGCATGGCCGGGGTTTCTGCACCGAACGATCTTACTTTCGGTGAAAGTGTTGATCGATAAGATGGACACCTCAACGGGAGGGCGCGCCCTCGCAGCAGCCGGGGCCGACGCCTGCAGCCTTAGTCTTGGCCCGATCCGGCGGGATGCCACGGGTAGGCGCGTTGAGGCTTGCCGCCTCCTCTGCGCCAACGCGGCCTGTGTGCCGCAGCTTGCGATTGCTGCCAGACAAGAGGAGGAGCAGAGCCGTTTGGCGATAGGACCAGGCAATCGCATTCGCCCCGTGGGCGTTTGCGGACTCGAGCAACACCCGGGTCGAGGTTGCTGCGCCTACCCGTGCTGCAGCATCGCACGCTCGTTGCGGGGGATGGAGCATCGGCGGCAGCCGGAATCCTGGCTCTTCCGGATGCAGGTCCGGCGGCATTTGCGGCGGCGTCTTTGCAGCTGCGAGCGCAGCGCGGTCAGAGACCGTCGGCCGCCGAATGGCGCACTTCTCGACATTCTCGACATTCTCGACTCTCGACATTCTCGACATTCTCGACATTCTCGACATTCTCGACTGCGAGTTCCTTGACGCACGCGACGCTCGCGGCGCCAGTCGTTTTGCTCGCCGGGCGGCCCACACGCCGCCCCGTCTCGCGCTTCCTCGCGTGCTCGGGCCTCGGCGGGCAGCACCTCGGCTGGTGCTCTGTTAGTCGCCAAACGTGCTGCTGTTTGGCGCACACGGTCTGGCTGCTCGGTTCGTTGCTCCCGGGGATGAGCAACCGGTGGTGAACCACCGGCGCCATACGACCCGCAGCCTACTCCTACTACCGCGCGCGCGCGCGCGCGCAGGCCGCCGTGGGCACGGGTGGGGCGAGCGCGCGCACCATGGTCTCGAGACTGCCCGCCGTACGGAGGGAGTCAAAATCTCTTTCCCTAAGCAAAACGATTTCTTTTGGAAACCGTGTGTGCCCGAGTCGCCGCAGAAAACACCAATCCTCGCTACGCGGCCAAAGGATATCCACCTCGAGAACCTCGAGAGAGTGTGCCCCGGCGCAGCCACTCCCAGCTGCTCGGTGTGAACTCGAGATCCCTCGAGAGTTCACGGAGTCGGCTGAGGCTATACCAGACAGCAGGCGGCTTCAACAACACTGTATAATGCAGACAGACGCGGCGGCAGACGCGGCGGCCCACGCACGCGCGGCGGTGCGGTTGGCGGAAGCAGCGCAGATGGCAGGGCGAAGAACGATGCAGACAGACGCGGCGATAGACGCGGCGGCCCACTCACGCGCGGCGGTGCGAGCGGCGGAAGCAGCGCAGATGGCGGCGGTTGCGGCGGCCGAAGCAGTCGCGCGAGCCTCAGCTGCAGAGCCGGTAGTGCCACAACGCGATTCCACTACTTCCCTGATAAATGACGAATCCTCGCTTCCCGGGAGGATGCGCGAGGCGGCCAGGGAGCTGAGGGAGGAGGACCGCAAGCGAGCGCGGGCGATGGCGGCCGGAGGCGGAGGCGGAGGCGGAGGCGCAGGCGGAGCCGTCTACATCCCAATCGCCGACGGTGCCGACAGTGGCGGCGGCGGCGGTGGAGTCCTCTTCATGCTAGCGGCGACGCTCACCCTCACAGCGCTCGTGGCTGCTGCCGGCACTGGCCTTGGCGCCGGCGCCTTTCCCGGCATGGGCGGCGGTGGGGAGGGTGGCGGCGGCGAGGGCGGAGGAGGCGAGGGCGGCGGCGGCGACGGGGGCGGCGGGCTCGGGGGCGGCGGCGAGGGAGGAGGCGGGCTCGGTGGCGGTGGGGACGGGGGCGGCGGCGATGGTGGAGGCGGTGACGGCGGGGGCGGAGAGGGCGGCCGCGGGCTCGGCGGAGGAGGAGAGGGCGGCGGTGGTGAAGGCCGCGGCGGGCCGCCACCGCCACCATCGCCGCTACTGCCGCCGCCGCCACCGCCGCCGCCGCCGCCACCGCCACCATCGCCGCTTCTGCCTGGCGACGGCGGAGGAGGCGAGGGCGGCGGTGGTGAGGGCGGGGGCGGCGGGGGCGACGGCGGCGGCGGGGACGGCGGCGGCGGCGAGGGCGAGGGCGGCGGTGGGGAGGGTGGCGGCGGCGAGGGCGGAGGAGGCGAGGGCGGCGGCGGCGACGGGGGCGGCGGGCTCGGGGGCGGCGGCGAGGGAGGAGGCGGGCTCGGTGGCGGTGGGGACGGGGGCGGCGGCGATGGTGGAGGCGGTGACGGCGGGGGCGGAGAGGGCGGCGGCGGGCTCGGCGGAGGAGGAGAGGGCGGCGGTGGTGAAGGCCGCGGCGGGCCGCCACCGCCACCATCGCCGCTACCGCCGCTACCACCGCCGCCGCCGCCGCCGCCGCCGCCGTCGCCGCCACCGCCGCTACTGCCGCTGCACCAGTACTTGGTGATGCTGGACTCGCGCTACCCGGCCGAGGCTTGGGCGGCCGAGTATGCCGCTGCCCACCCGCCCGCCACGCAAAGTCGTCACTTTGAGGTGCTCGCCATGGCGAGCGAGCCGGGGAGCGCAGCGGTGGTGCGCGCTAGCCCCGACGTTGCGCTAGAGGCAATGCGGGACCCGCGCGTCCGGAGAGTGGGGCGAGGGTGCTTGACCGCCGGGGCTGCTTGAATGAACATGAGAAGCTAGAGAATGCCCATGTGACCCTACCCACCTACCTATACGCGATGCACGACACATACCTACACCCATTGGCGCTGCCCACTTTGTATGGGAAACTGAAACTGAAACGCAACCAGGATGGGAGGACGGCACGCCGCCACCAGACAGGGATTTTAAGGAGAGGAGTGTGGTGCTAGCCGTCGCCCACCCTAACCCTTGGTCGTCTGCCTCTTTCTATCTCCCTTCGCAGTCGCGCTTGGAGCACTTGGAGTAAGAAAGAAAGAAAACAGACAGACAACCCAAGGGAGGGATGGGAGGACGGCACGCCGCCACCACACAGGGATTTTAAGTAGAGCTGTCAAACGTTAAGAGCTGAACAGTGTTGCTAGTGTTAACAGTAACAACAGAACAACAGTGGGGCTCCCCAACAACAGTAGCTAACGTTAGGCCAGCTGAACAACAATAAGGAAGGCCTGGCAGTGACCCACGACGATCTCCAGCGTCCAGTGCGGGTAATACCCGAAAATACCTGGAAAAACCCAGGTATTTTCGGGTTTTACCCGGGTTTTTTGGCATTTTCTGCTTGCTGACCACTGAACAACAGTAACAACAGTAACAAACAGTAACAGCTTGGGCTGGGGAGAACACTTGAACAACGTTGAGGATTTTCAGCCAACAATAGTGCAACTGTTAGGCCCAAAGTTAACGTTTGACAGCTCTAATTTTAAGGAGAGGGGTGTGATGCGCTAGCCGTCGCCCACCCTAGGGAGTCTGCCTCTTCCTATCTCTTTTCGCAGTCTCTCGCCGCTTCTCGCTGCAACCTTCATGCCACCTCGCGGCCGTCCCACTCTCGTCGTTCTCTCCCTTGTCACTTCCTCCTCTGTCGCGTCATTCTCTTCTGCCTCGTCCTGCGCCGCCGCCGCCTGCCGTTCCCTTGTTCTCTCGGCTTCTTTCGCCTTTCGGCGCAGCTCCGCCCTCCTTGCTGCATATCCTGGCCCCTCGAGTCTATCGAGCTCCCCTCGCGCAAGGACCACATTTCTGACTCCCACTCCGATCATTTGCCTCCAGGTCATGTTGTTGCTCAGGTCCACTCTCTCTTCGAACACTCGTGCCTCTACGGATGATGCCGGCGCTGGGGTCCCCTTCGGATGCATCGTGACATCTGACAACTGAATTTCCACTGGTTCGTCCTCCTCGGAGTCATCTTCCCCGTCCTCCTTCCGTTCGGCTCTTCGCTCGGTACGTTCGGTGTGGCTCACCCTCCATGCCGTGAACAGGCGCCCTATCCATCCTATGTTCTTCTCTCGTTCCTCTGCCCGTGCCTTGGTCTTGTCGTTGTTTCGTACCCATGTCTGTATGGCAATCGAGGCTGCCTTCCCCACTACCTGTAGTTCACTCGTCACCTCTCCCGCGAGCTCCCTTCTCTTTCTTTCGGGTATGGGGTCCGTGAGTGCGGGCAGTGTGCAGGCAATCACGGGCGCTATTTTGTCGTACTCCTCTTCGGCGAGCGCTCCAAATCTAGACCCTTTCGCCTTTAAGGAGGCTGCCCTCGCTCGTCTCAGGAATGTGGCGGTGTCTTTTGAGTCCGGCGCCTCCCGTTCAACTCTTGCTGTCGCCCTCGCTGTGTGTTTGTCGAGCTTCCGCATGAAGTGACGCGCCTCTTCCTTATTTCCAGCGCAGCTGCCGCTCAGTATGTGCGCCAACGACGCCTGTGGTGGCTCACTGTCTTCTTGTTTCCAGTCGTCCCAGTCTTTCAGCTCCCCGCGTCTCCTCCTCGCCTCGCGCGCCTCTTTTGTGGTCTCATCCCTAGCCGCTTTGCACGCTCTGCATCCCCAGAACGCACTTCTCGTGGCGGGGCCCCTCATTCCCCGTTTCTTTTCCCCCTCTAGAATACGCCTGTGGTGTGCACCGTGTGGCACCCCGACCTGTTGTCTCACCCTGGCCCCCAAGATCGTTTTGGTCGTCACATTGTGATCCCCAACGTCGTCGAATGTCGCCCGCCTATCCTTCCCCCCGTTCTCGTCTGGTAATCTCATCTTATTATCCCATCGATGTTTGAGGCTGGCTACCGCCACTTCGCTCCACAACCGTCCCGCCACCCCTGCCGTGTGCGATCCCGGCCTCACTGTCTTTCGATATTGCTCGCACACCCATTCGTGCGCGCTCTTACACATGTGTCCGTACGTCCGCCGGTCCACTATCTCCTTCTCCTCTGTGTTCTCCGCCGCCTCCCTTCGTGCCGTGTACATGCATGGCCGCGTCCGCACCGCGTCCCGCACCACTTTCGAGGCGTCCTCCGTGTCGTTATCCCCGAGGTGTGCTGTCGCCACCGCGTCGGCGTATGCGTTGCAGGCTATTCCCACGTGTGCTGGCACCCACATGAAGACCACCCCCTCTAGCTTCGATCTATAGTATGCAATCGCCTCCAGGAGCCCGCCTCTCTCCCAGTCCCTCAGGCCTTCTGGCATCCCTTTGCGGTGCGCGTTCTCAATCTGCTGCAGCGCGGGTTTGCAGTCGCATAGCACTAAGCACCGCCGCGATTGCGCATCGCTCGCTCTCGCCATTTTGCGTAAGTATGCGAGTATCGCGTACATCTCCGCGTCTATCGGCTCCCACATGTTCGGGAGCTTTCCTCCCCACATTCCCGCCCCAAACGCTGTCCGTATCTCCCCTTCCTCACAGGGTCCGATTCCGTTGGGATCCTTTACCTGTGCGTCTCCCGGGACGCACTTGGAGTCGCGCTTGGAGCAATGAAAAAAAATTCTTTTAGGAGTTAGTTCGTGCCAGTCTGCTGTGAGAGATGGTTTGATTCGAGAATTCTTTTAGGAGTCGGTTGCGGACATGATGATCGCTGCTCTACCGCCGCTCGCCTACACCGGTCCGGCCGTCGAGGCCCGACACGCTCACGCCGTTGGCTCTGTCGACATCTTCATCGCCGGAGCGCTCTGGTTTCCGGCCGCTGGAGCCGCCTGGGTTCGCCACCGCGGCCGCAAACTCTCGGCAGCAGACGGCTCTCTCTCGCTGGTCAACTCTCGCAACAGCTCGGGAATTGACTCATATGGCTCCTACTTTCGAACAGCGTGGCGGTGGGCCGACCGCGATGAAGCCAATGCGACGGCGCCCTTTGCCTTTGAGACGGCGGTGCGGCGGTACGAGTCCCATGTCGCCTTTAAGCAAACCTTCCTCTCTGGCGCGTCCGCCACGGCCACGGGCGACAAGGACGGGCTCGTGTCTGGGTACCCGAGCTTCAGACTCCCCGCCTCGGCCGCGACCGACCCGGTGCGGCGCGGCTACCTCTCGTACCAGGCGCCTCTCGCACCAGCCTATTCAGAGAGACCAGCCTCTTCACAAGTACCAGCCTATTCACAGAGACCAGCCGCTTCACAGGGCACCTCTCGTTCCAGGGTCAGATGGTCGGCGCTGGCTACAAGACGGGGGAGTGGGAGGCGTCCGCTGCAGGAGTTGGCGGCGGGGTGGGGGGCGGGGTGGGGGGCGGGGTGGGGGGCGGGGTGGGGGGCACGGGCCCTGTGTGCGTCTTCGCTCGTGACGGGCCCGGGAGCCACTCGGTGGTCCTCTCCCCCTCCGCCGCCTTCATGGCCACCTCGCAGCGAGTGCGGCGCGGCGCCCTCCTGTGCCGGGCGGGCTAGGCTGACGAGCCGGGCTTCACCCTTCGTTTGCGTGGTCAGGCGCGGCACGCTCTCGTACGGAGTGATGGGCAACGTGAGTGGCGTGCCGGCCGGCTTCTTCTCGGAGGCGCTGCTCGCCCACTCCGCCGAATCATAAACCATAAATCATAAATCATAAATCATACTACACTTCTCGGAGGCGCTGCTCGCCCACTCTGCCGGAGGGATCACCGAAGCCATGCTCGCGTGGGGAAGCCTGCTGCTCGCGCGGGGCGGCAAGGCGCGCGGGTGTAGGCCGGTTAGGGCGCAGGGCTAGGGCTAGGGTTAGGGCTAGGGCTGGCTGGTCGGGCGGCATCACTCATTCCTCCACCCATGTCCGTCGTCTGCTGCCAGGTGCGCGCCGCCGCGTGGGAGCGCGACCTGACTCTGCGAACGCTCGGCTACTCGACCGACAACGGCGTCTAGCCGAGATACAGCCGAGATACAGCCGAGATACAGCCGAGATGCAGCCGAGATATGGCCGAGATATAGCCGACAGCAGTAGCGCGCTCCGCCTCCCGCCACACGCAGAGAGGCCCAGCCACACATACCGCGCAGGCGCCTACTACTACTACAACACGGCGCCCAACGCGAGCTACGAGCAGACGATGCTGCGCGTCGCGGAGTACGCAGCGGCCGCTCGGCTGCCGTACAGGCGCGCTGTATCCCTCTGTAGTAGCAGCCGCCACCGTACAGCCGATCCCGGCGCGGCAGGCCCTCCACCGAAAGGTGTGTGTGTGTGCGTGCGTGTGTGTGCGTGCGTGTGCGTGTGTGTGTGTGTGTGTGCGTGCGTGCGTGTGTGTGTGTGTGTGTGTGTGTGTGTGTGTGTGTGTGTGTGTGTGTGTGTGTGTGTGTGTGTGTGCGTGTGCGTGTGTCTGGATGGCCACCTCTCCGAGCAGGTACTGGCTTGCAGACTCGTGGTGGTACTACAAGGGCACGCCCGCCAGGGGCAGGCCCGGGGGAGGCGTCACGAACTGGACGGCGAGATCAGCCCGAGATCACCTCGAGATCACCCCGAGATCGCCCCGAGAACACCCCCCCGAGCTGCTCCCGCAGGCTCGGCCAGACGTCTTCCCGCGCGGCTTCGAGGCGCTGACCGCCGCCACCGGCTGGAGAGTGCAGGGGCACAACCGGTACTGGGACGCGACCACCGGCTACGCGCGCGCCAACGGAGGGCGCTACTCCTTCCTCCGGGACCGCGGCTCGGGGTACGCGCTTCCCGTCGACGCCGCCTTCTGGGGCGACCTGCTGCGGAACGCCTCGCGGTGGGGGCTGGCCGTGTACGAGCAGGCGCGAGATCGAGCCGAGATCGAGCCGAGATCGAGCCGAGATCTAGCGAATTCTAGCGGGGGGCCAGTCTTCCGACAAAAATTTCCGCAGGGCCAGCCGAGATCCAGCCGAGATCCTTGGCCCTGGCCCTGGCCCTGGCCTTGGCCCTGGCCTCAAGCGGGGCCAGCTCAGCCACGAGCGATGGCAACATGAGGAGAGGAATAGCAACGGCAGGACTGGCTTGACTACGAGCTCGACCACTTTGCGCCGCTGACGCAGTCGGCGAGCCTCGGCGGGGACTGGCTCGCGCAGATGGCGGCGGGCAAGCAACCTGTGAACAGCGTCTCTTCACACCTCAAGCTGTGAATAGGCTCGCGCAGATGGCGGCGGGCGCCGCCGCCTCCGGCGTCAGCATCCAGTACTGCATGTCGTATTCGCGCCACGTCCTCGCGTCGACACAGCTGCCGCCGGTCACCCAGGCGAGAGGTCGAGGCGAGAGGCGCGGCAGGCTCGGGAGACTCTGCACGAGTCTCTCCGCCCTCGCGAAGAGCATTGCACCCTCCCGCGCCTCTCTCGAGGCCCAGAGGTGGATCGAACAGCGGTGGCCCGAGATGCCCTTGCCCCCCCCCCCCCCCCCCCAGGCGCGCGCGAGCGACGACTACCAGCCTGGCAACGACCAGTGGCGGCCGCTCGGCACGACGGCGCTCTTTGCATACGCCGTCGGGCTCGCCCCCTCCAAGGACAGCTTTTGGAGTACGCCCGTCCAGCCGGGCGCGCCACGCTACCGCGCCGCCCAGTCGGAGCCGCGCTGCCGGCTGCAGGCGGCCGCGCCTCTGCCCGCTCTCTCCCTCGGGCCGGTCGGATCGAGGGTCACGTCCACGCCACGCCCACGCCACGTCCACGACGCGCGCGCGCCCTGCCCTGTCCAGGCAGCCGTGTCGACCCTCTCTCGCGGGCCGGTGGCGCCGTCGGACGGGATCGGCCTCTCGGACGCGGCTCTCATCATGCGCTCCGCCGCCGCCGACGGGACCCTCCTCTCCCCGGCCCGGCCCGCGACCAAGCTCGACGCCTTCCTCGCCGCCGACGCCTTCGCCTCCGACGGCGCCGCCTGCGCGGAGCGCCGCGGCTGGCCGCACCCGCCCTCACCTGTCCACGGCCGCGTCTGTCAGGCGCCCCGACGGGCGAGGTGTGGTTCGCAGACACGGCCGTCTCCTCGCGCCGCTTCGGCGTCCTCCTCGCCGCCCGCGTCTCCGCCGCCACCGCCGTCTCGCAGGCGCTCCCCGGGGCGGCGCTGTGCGCTGCCCGCGACACGTCCGCGACGCGTCCGTGGCGCCCCCGCAGGCGCAGCTCGGGTACGCGCCCGGGGCCTCCGTCGTCGCGGTCGAGGCCAACTCGACACATCGCTTCACCCGGCTCGGCGCGGGCGGCCTCTCTTTGCCTCCCAACGGCGAGCTCGACTTTCGGCTGTGGAACCTGGCGCCGGTGGAGCGGAACGGGTGGGCGCTTCTCGGCGAGGTGGCGCACAAGTGGGTCGGCGTCTCGCCCGCCCGCGTCACCGCCGTCGACGCCTCCTCTTCGGGCGGCATGGAGGTGGCCGTGCGCGGCGCGGCCGGCGAGCGCGTGACGATGAGCTTCGCGCCGCCGTGCGCCGGCCCTTGCGCGGCGGGCGGGCAACCAGAGGCCACGGTGAGTGTGGCGTGCGAGCTTCCGGCGAGCGGCCGCGCGCTGGTACGCGCGCCCGAGGGCGCCAGCCCGTGTGCAGCTCTGTGAGAGGCGCGCCGCCGATCTCTCGTTCTCTCTGTTGACTCTGAGTACTGAGAGGTGGCGCGGTATGGACGCCTACTTTCGATTCTTTCGGCCGTCGGTGTTGCCGCCGGTGCACTGAGTGGGTGTCGCCGAAACGGCGTACAAAAAGATCAGACAGCCCCCCCCAACAAACTTTGCAAGTCGCAAAAACTACACACAGGAGCGACACTGCTCGGCGACTGACGGCACACTGTGAGACCAGCATCCAGCAAGCCAGCAGCAACAGCATACATGGGCTGTGGGGCTTCCAAGGCCGACGTACCGGCACCGCCAGCGAGAAAGGCGGCAGATAGTCCTGCGGGAGAGGACGCCACCTCTGATACGGCTCACCCACCAAGTACAGCCAATACGAGAGCAGACGCTGCCATTGACGGCGACGAGCCATGCCAGAACAGCCACGAAGGCAAGGCGCACAATCACAGCCATGTTGAGTCTCATCTCGATCAAGGGCATTCTCATGAGTGTCACAGCTACGCCGAGAATACGTCATGCGCACAGCCTGATGTCTTCTTTGGCCATGCCGTATTGGCTGCACGATCAACGTGCAAGGCCGAGCACGATCACAGCCACAGCGAGGCGCACGATCACAGCCACAGCAGGAGCGAGGCGCACGATCATAGCCACGCCGAGTGTCTTGGCTCCTCCTGCTCCATGGACGGCATCGCCGAGGCCATCGCGCCGGATGAGGCATCCGCTGCAGCGGAGGCTTCAGTTGGCGCCGCCGAGGCACACTCTCAGCGTGCCGCTGCCATGCTGCTGATAAATGAGGGCGACCTGGATGGCGCTGAGCCGCTGCTTCGTAAGGCGCTCGAAGGGTGCCGTCAGACGCTCGGCGACCGGCACCCGTACACGCTCACCTCGATCGCTTGCCTTGGAGGGCTCCTGAAGGACAAGGGTGACTTGGATGGCGCAGAGGCGCTGCTTCTCGAGGCGCTGGCGGGAAAGCGAGAGGTCTTTGGAGACCGGCACCCGAGCACGCTCGCCTCGGTCGCTTGGACCGGCCAGCTCCTGCAGGACAAGGGCGACCTGACTCGCGCCGAGGCGCTGCTCGGCGAGGCATTGCAAGGGTGCCGGGAGACGCTCGGCGACCGGGACCCGAAGACGCTCACCTCGATCAACAACCTGAGCGCGCTGCTGTATGCAAAGGGCGACCTGGACGGCGCGGAGCCGCTTCTTCGTGAGGTGGTGGCGGGGTTCCGCGATACGCTCGGTGACGGGCACCCGAGCACGCTGAGCTTCATCTACGGCCTCGCGTCGCTGCTGCAGGAGCAGGGGAAGCTCGGCGAGGCCATCCCTCTCTTCCGTGAGGAGCTGGAGGGGTGCGCGGCGCGGTACGGGGAGGAGCACAAGGAGACGCGCGGCTCGGCCCGCAACCTCATCGATCTGCTACGGGAGGCGGGGAGGCGGGAGCGCAAGGCCGCGCGGTTTGTTGAGGCCGACGCGCTGGCTGCCCAGTACGAGCTGGAGTGAGCGGGTCGGGCTGCCGCGACCGCTCAATCTGCACGGGAAACGCGAGATGCCGGCCTGCGGGCGGACCCTCACAGCTCACAGCCCAGAACGCATAATTTCTTTTGCCCCTTTCCCTTATTTGTGACTAACACAGTCCCCAGACCAAACGAGGAAATACACAGAAACGGCGTGCGCGCTGTGCCTCTGTGACTGTGTTCGTGCGTCGCCCATCATGCATGGAGATGAACTGCTCTCTATTTATTTGTTTATGGCGGCGTGCCGTCATCCCATCCCTCCCCTGGGCTGTCTTCTTTATTTTCGGGAGTCAGCGTTACATAAATAAATAAAACGGACACACCAAACAAGGGGTGGGAGAAAGGACAGGGTCCCCACCTGCGCGAGCAGGATCTTGTAAGGACGATCAGGGACACAGGGGAACGGGAGCGGGGAGCGCATCGCGACACGGAGGGGGGCTGGGCAGGGTTCACCCACACGACAGGGTCCCAGGGATACATGAACCCGAGGCAGTCCGCGAGGAGTTTCTTTTGCCGAGAAGGGCGACTACCGGTTCGCGCGGGAGAAGAATTGCGACCTGCGTTTGCTCGACTTCGAGACGTTCGGCGGCTTCGGGGACGGCGTCCGCAAAATTCTTCGGCAGGCGGCGGACCAGCTGAGTAACAAACTTTCGCACGCTCAGCACCTCGATGAGGTCACATGGACCACCAAGAACTGGCACGGGCTGCAGATGCAGCGCTTGTCTGTCGTTCTCCACACCGCCGTGGCGTGGCAGACGGTGAACGAGCTAGCGTGCGGGGACAGCGGCATTGTGCACGGTGCTAAGTGCATTGCCGCTCTTAACGGAGTCGCTTAGGCGGCTCCGGTGGTGTGCCGGTGATAGTACTAGCACGCGCCAGTTCGCACCTGTGTCGAGCCTGTCTAAAAAGAAAGAAAGAAAACAGACAACCCAAGGGAGGGAGCCTGTCTGCTGTGAGAGAGCGCGGGTTTAATTCTTTTGCCGCTGCACATTTGCCGCCATTTGCAAAGGCGCGACATGGGCGCACGGCGCACCCCCGCTCCGGCGACGGCGTCCACCGCGGCGCCAGGCGGAGAGGTCGTGTGCGGCTTGAACGGCACGTATGCACTGGGCGAGGTGATCGGGGAGGGGACCTTCGCTGTGGTCTACCGTGCGCGCTCGACGACGACGGGCAGCGCGGTCGCCGTCAAGCGGCTCAAGCAGCACGAGAGCGTCTTTGAGAGCACCCGCGCCCGCGACGAGCTGTGTGCGCTACGCAGGCTGGCGGGCGACGGGCGGAGGCCGCAGAACCCGAACGTGGTGGAGGTGCTGGACGTCGCCAAGGACGGCGAGCAGGTCGACCTTGTCCTGCAGCTCTTTGAGCACTGCGACTTTGCGACAGCCCTCGCCGAGCGGCAGTTCACGGCGCCGCACGTCAACAGCTACATGCGCGGGCTGCTGCGCGGCCTCGTCCACATCCACAGCCTCTCCTTCGTGCACCGGGACATCAAGCCGACCAACGTGCTCTACAACTTTGCCGAGCGGCGCGCACTCATCGTCGACTTTGGGCTCGTGCAGCGCTTCCGCGGGCAGCGGCCGCGGCCGGGCGCACCGCCGACACACTCTCAGCAGCAGCCCGGCCGCGCAGCGGAGCCGGAGGGCGGCGCGACGGCGGGCAGGCGGCCGCCGCTGCAGCGGAGGCGGCTGGAGCCGCTGCGCGCCCCTCACAGCACGTCGGAGCACCCTCGCTCGATGGTTGCGCCGAGGGAGGGGACAAAGGGCTTCCGCGCGCCGGAGGTGTGGGCGGACCGCCGCCGCGCCTCCCTCCCTCCCTCCCCTCCCCTCCCTCCCCTCCCTCTCTCCCTCCCTCCCCTCCCCTCCCTCCCCTCCCTCCCCTCCCTCCCCTCCCTCCCCTTGCGGTTTCGTTCTTCTCGA